AATGACGCTCGAGTGTTAGACACAATAAGTTGTTCTGCTCGAGTACAAGAAGTCTCGCTCGAGTGCAGAATACACACTCCCAGTAGTTTTGCAGACAGCAGGCCAATGCTCAAGCGCAAGAAAAGCTGCTCGAGCCAAGACCGATTGAGCATAAGAAACACTGCTCGAGTGTAGAGTACACTCTCTCAGTAGTTTTGCAGGCCTAAAAAAGTACTAAAAGTTCACAAATCTTGCTCGAGCGCAGGAAGTGACGCTCGAGCGGAGGAGCAAAATTCTGGACGACAAAAGTTTGAAAACCAAACTACCAACCTGTTTCAAACGCAACCGATACAACCCAATAGCCAAAATCAAGGAAGTATGAGGGAAAAAAGACATGAACAACACTACAAAACCATGAAACCGAGTCCAAGATACAAAAGGGTCGCGTTAAAACCGGAATTGCTATAAATGAACAACTTCATATACATGTAGCGAATAATTAGCACGAAAATAGATGAAACTATCAAATCCCATTTGAAAAATTGAACTTTTTATAATTTATCTTCTATTTTTTTCCCAATAGCATTTACTAAAGGTGTGAGCTTTAACAAGATACCAGATGATGACAACTAATACATTCTTACTATCTTATATCAATTTGGAGCAAATGCTAGCACAAGATGATCACCTAAAGTTTGCTTCTTAACTTTTTACAATCAACAAAAGTAATCAAAAACAGACTTTCGAAATAAGACAATGTAAATATCAATGAATTGAGTAAGAGATTAAAAACAGAAATAAAAATAAAATTATTTGAGTATCGATTGAGGAGCACTTGTTCAACCTTCAAAGGTAACAACAGTTGAGTTGTGAGAAAGCAGACAAACGACAATAAAAAAAAATTCTGTAAACCAAACTAAATCAAATCCATTTATAGTAAATTTCTCATCAAAGAAGATGCAAATCATACCTGCAAGACCACAATACAAGAACGATTATATCCAAATAATTGAAGAATCGATAGAGAAGCAGGGATTTTGCCTTCAAAAATCGCACTGAAGTCAAAGAATGCAAGGCTGAATCATAGTGTTAGAACAGAAATTCCACAAAACTAAAATTAAAAGAGGAAAACAAACACAACAACTGTACAAGAGAGGATTTATAGATAGAAATCACAAAGCATTAGTAGATCAACTCTAAGAAATTGAATCATGACAAATAGAACGAAACCATGGTGCATATTTTGCAAAACTTAAAGGAGGTTATGAAATTTGATTTTTTCTAGTTGTAATCTATCAAGTCATATTTTCAACAAATGAATTGATTTTTTCAATAAAAAATAGAACCACCAACCATAATAATGGAAAAACAAACTCATGAAGCCTAGGTTGAAAAAGAGAAGAAATTGAGTTCTAAATTTTATCTTATTAAAAATGAGCAAAATCCAGAAAGAGCATATAATAAGACTAATTGATTAACATATGAAAAAATTGTGGCACAGAAAATGAATTTAATTTATTAAGAAAAAAATGCAACGTCAAAACTGCATAGGTATAAAAAAATCGGTGCATATAATAATAAATATTAGCATTCTTCCCTACCACATATCTAAATGCATCAATGCTTGCAAAAAATATAACTAATAAACTTAAAAAAAGAAAAAAAAAATCCCACACAAATAAAATTAGAAGAAGAAGATTTAAAAAAAAAAAAAAAAAGCCTCATCTTGAAAAGAACTCTATCAAGAAATCATTTTTTAATAAAAAATAAATTAAATTTGTAAGCATAATTTACTAATTCCTCCATCTCATCAGGGATTGTTCCTCTTAATAATGCATTAGAATTCTCTTTAACCACATTGTGCACTATGAAAATCAATCATCAAAGCAGCTCCAAATATATTGAATTTAATGCTCTATTTGTTTCATTAAAATGAGATAGAATGGAATGATCATTCCTGGAACTCTACAATGGAATGTTCATTCTCTGATTGTGTGGGTAATTTTCCGACCACACTGCTCGCCTAGTAATCAGCTGGAGAGCACCGGCAGAATAGATGGCTTCAGCAAACCTGTAACAGAAAGAAAAGGCTCCGGCGGTGGCTCTTCCACCCGGGGCACTCCGACGATCAAGTCAGTATATCTCTCAAAGATAATCAAGTGCTAAACTCACAAGCTTAAGCATAAAACTGCGTACCTTAGACCCATGGGGGTGCCTCTCTTTTATAGTTTACTTAATTCAAGTCCCACTAGAAGCCTGACTTCTATGGACTCCAATTCAATACTGACTTTGGACTCTTCAAGAGATAAAGATAAACTTCCTAAGAGTTTTATCCTTATCTGAGCTAAGTCTTCTCTTTTCTCTAGGACTCTTGTCCCTTATCCGCTTATCTCGGATTCCGATATCTTTGGAGATCACCTCGGCCTCGCCAAAGATAACCTCGGCATAACTATCACGACACGTGGCACCTCGGCTGATACGTCGGCGTCACTATGCCACGTGTTGGTACTCAGAAAATATATCCCCACAACTGCCCCTTAGGTTCTATTACCTCGTTACCTCGGCATTCTGAGGTGATAGAACCTATATCGATATCTCTTTCTATACATTGGCCTACAAACTCTTCAGCCGAGATCATTTATTTCAAGCCGACACATTCTTTTTGGAGAACAAGAATTCTAGTGAACTTTCCCACGCGTATGAGCTGTCATGCATCACTTCTCAACCGTTTCTCTTATGCGTCTTTACCTTATTGGTCCGTGTTTGTGACGCGCTTATAAACCACGTTTTTCCTGCATACGCCGCTTGACGTATGCGCTGCTCCAGGCGCATTGATTATCTTTTGCCGCCGTTTTTGGTTTTTGACAAAAACTCTTCCTTCTTCTTTCATTTTTTCACTATTGCATTTGCTGTTTCTCTCTCTAAACTCGTTCTTTTGAATCTGCCATTGCTGAAGCTTCCAAGCTCTGTGTTTGTCTTCCTAGTGGAACTTTTGTCGTTCTGCCATATCTATAACTATCGACTGATTTCGGCGGTCCTCACATCGACTTCATTTTTTCTGGTAAGCAACTGTTTCTTCTGATTTCAATTCTTGACCATTTCTGGAATCTCCTGTTATTACTGCCTTGCTCAAATATCTATTTTGTGATTCATATATCTGAATGTGTTTAGTCCTTGGTTTGGCCCTTGCCTATATCTTGAACACACGCACCGTTGCACTACTCCACTGTATTTTTGCCACTGATCTTGGTCATTTATTTCTCGTATTCTTCATGTTCTTGATAGCCCATCCCTGTTCATGTTTCTGAAATTTCGCCTTTGTTTTCTGTTTTTTGTGTCTTTGCCAGATCTCTGCTTTCGATTTTTGCTTTCAATTTTTACCTTCATAGATTTAGGCTTGGGATTTGTCTATAGAATCTATCAATTCTTAGGAAAAAACTGAAATAATCCTTACCAGCATATACCTAGGGTTTCGCCGAGGTCCTAATATCCCCTTAAGAGCATCTTTTTTCTGAAACCTAGCCCTCTGATTTTAGGCCGACGTTATGGGTATGTGGAGACATAGGGTAGACACCCAGACCAAACTTGAGTACTTTAGGCAAGAATTCTCTATTCCTGCCGATGTCCATCTGAGGCTGGCTGAAGATAATGACTCCATCATGCCCGCAGATGATTCAATGCCCTTTCCTATAGTAGCTTTTACTGAGCGCGGACTCCGGCTCCCACTTAACATTCTCTTTCGCGAAATTCTTCACTTTTACAAGTTGAACCCTATGCAACTTGCCATAAACTCTTATCGAGTGATCAATGGCATCATAGTTTTAGCTAGGCAGGAGAATGCTAGGATCACCCTTGCCGACATTCAGTACTGTTATACCATGTGCCCCCTTAACCTGAAGGAAAAAGGCTTTGTTTCTTCCCCGATCAGTTAAAGAGGGCAAGGGTAAGAGCCCAGTGTCAATACTTAGTTGTTTCTGTTCAAGTCTTCAATATTTTATCTGTTTCTAATGTCTGTTTTTTCTTGCAGACGTTCGCAAGCCAGCGAAAGACTTCCGCCAATCTTACGTTCCTAGTAAGGACCTGAAAAAACTCCCGGACTTGCCAGTTCACAAAAGAAAAGCACCTCTTCTTCTCAACTTTATTCCTGCATACAAATCGACTTTGCCCGACGTTCCCAAACGAAAGAAGAAAAGCCTTTCTCCTCCTACTGCCACAACTCAAACCGTCTCTACATCACGCACAGATCAAGAGTCAACATCTGACTCAACCAATCAACCATCTACCTCGGCCCTATACTTAATCCCAATACCAGAAAGAAAACGTCGGCGACGACTTGTCAAAACTGCTGAGATGGGTCGCCCGAAGCCTGTTGCTGTAGATCTCTTAGCCGACCTACCTGCCGACGTTGATGCTGTTCAATCCATGCCCCCACCAAAGCCAAAAAGAATAAAAAAGGCCCAGCCCAAGGCCAAAGCTACTGAGGTTGAGGCTGAGGATGCTCTGCCCATCTCACAATTGGCTGAGAGTAAAAAAACTGCTTCTGCTTCTGCAAAAAGGTCTGTTGAGGCCCAGCCATTAGAGTCCACCCAATCAAAGAAGCCGAGGTCATCGTCTGTGACGACCTCGGGTTCCAGAATACTAAAAGTCCCTTGGACACCTGAGATCACTCTAGAGGATAAGCTTGTCCTTGCCAGCAATAGCGCCGATGATATAAACGTCGGCGTGGCACTCAGTACTGCTCTACTCCTCCCAGGCGATCTTGAGCGGAATGCCAAGATGAGTGAGTATGAGAACTACGCCTTTATGCTGCAACGCTCTGTCCAAGTAAGTGCCTTTGTGCTGAAATTTGTTTTCTTTCTTACTTTGTGAAATCTTGTAACAATTTGTGCCTTGTGTTCTTTCAGGCCATCCAACATGCCCACTCTCTCTCCATGCAAGCTTTTGAAAATCGGCAAAGATTGGCCGACATGAAGAGGGAGGTTTCTGCCCTGAAAAAGGAGAACAAAACTCTCGAATCAAAGATGAAAAAACTGGAGGACCAAGCTGAGGCCGCCACCAAAGCCCAAAGTCTAGCCGAAGAAAAAGCCGAATCTGCCGAGGCCATTAAGAAGGTTGCTGAGGCCGAGGTAAAAAAGGCCCAAGCCGAAAAAGAGCTTCAGGAGGCCTTAGTTACCAAAGATGCTGAGATTAAGGAGGCTGACGAGAAGGCTTATGCTCAAGGAATGGCCAACGTCACTGAGGAGTACAAACTGCAAGTTAGGCAGGCATGCAACAGGGACTTCTCCCTTGGTTGGATGGCCCTTGCCAAAAAGCTCAACATCCCAGATGACTCTCCATTGCACAAGGCTGATGATATCCCTCTGCCATTCCCTCCTCCTCCTCCTCCTCCTCCAAGTCATCCTGAAGAAGAATCCGAATCTGAGTCTGAAGATGTGGAGGGGGGTGAGGAGGAGGGTTTAATAAGAAAATCCAAGGAGGCTGTTGGGGCTAAGTCTCTTTCTCTGAATGAGCAGGTTCTGGACCTGACTCAAGATAATGATGACGATGAAGATATCAAGGAGGCTACCCCGGAGCAGGGTTCATCCGACATTCCTCAAATCGGCAAGAGTGTTGATGAAACCCTTGCCGAGATCGACGCCGAGATTGCTGCAGATGAGGAAGCCGAGGTATCTGTTCAGGAGACTTCTGAGGTTCAGATCCAGCCAGTTGCTGATGCTGAAAAGTCTTAACTTTCATGTCTTTTCTTTTGCACCCTTGTACTTTGTTTTGTTTTCTGGACAATGTAAGCTTCCTTTTATGGCCGATGTGCCTCTCATTGTTATTTCGAAACAATTTACTTCTGTAGTGCCTTCTTTTGTACACAACTGCAACTGTTTTTCTATGGATGCTTTAATCTTTTAATTTCTCTTGATTTGCTTCTGCATGGTTCTATACTTAGAATATTTTGTATGCCTTTCATATTTTGCCACCTTTGTGCAATCTTCTCGGGGTTACATATCTCGGGTATAATAACTACAAGCTTTACTTCGGCAAGATACTGACCGCAAACTTTTCATAAATTTCAACAAGCGTAAGACATATACTATTCAATGTCAACTTTGCGAATGTTTCTCAATGTTTTAATCAAGTGTTTAGATAGTGATCTTAGTCTAACATACTTGTAAATTGCTACCAATTTCAACAAGTGTTATCATATACTGTAAACTTTTCTCAAGTTATAACAAGTGTTTAAGCAATGATCTACTTGTAAATTGCTACAAATTTTAACAAGTGTTTAAACAATATACTTAGCTTTTACCTCAACCTGCAAATTGCTGTAAATTTTAACACATGATCACATGTCGGCTTAACATTATCTTGTAAATTGCTACAAATTTCAACAAGTGTTAAGCATCTTCTTTGGTTGGACCAACCTGTAGATTGCTATAAGTGTGCAAACTATAACCTCGGCTTCACTTCGACTTGTAAATTGTTAAAAATTTCAACAAGTGAAGAGAAACAGTAATCTCGGCTTAACTTCAATTTATAAATTGCTACAAATTTCAACAACTGAAGATAAGGAACCATCTCAGCTTAACTTCAACTTGTAAATTGCTATAAATTTCAACAAGTGAAGATAAGGAATAATCTCGGCTAACTTCGACTTGTAAATTGCTACAAATTTCAACAAGTGAAGATAAGGAATCAGCTTAACTTGAACTTGTAAATTGCTACAAATTTCAACAAGTGAATTAAGGAATAAATCTTGGCTTAACTTCAACTTGTAAAATGCTACAAATTTCAACAACAAAGTGAGATAAGGAATTCAGCTTAACTCCAACTTGTTAAATTGCTACAAATTTCAACAAGTGAATTAAGTAATAATCTCGGGCTTAACTTCAACTTGTAAATTGCTACCAAATTTCAACAATTGTGAAGATAATGAATCAGCTTAACTCCAACTTGTTAAATTGCTACAAATTTCAACAATGAATTAAGTAATTAATCTCGGCTTAACTTGACTTGTAAATTGCTACAAATTCTTCAAACAAATCCTCTCTCTT